AATCGCATCCATTATTGACACAATTGCGCTTTTAAAACATGATTCAACTTGAACGATGAATCTCTGGAATGGGAACCACAGCATCCCTCACACCACAAATCATCTTCATCAGTGTCTATTCATCATCAGTAACGTCTTCATCAGAGCGGCAGTTTCCTCCGTTTACCCGGATGTAATGAACGCTCTGACTGCCGCCGGCTCCACAGCTGCACAGTTGTCTGCCGAACAGAGACTCCATCTCCTCCAGACGCAGACCCTTGGTCTCCGGCAGACAGCCCACCACAAACACAAAGCCCAGCAGAGCCAGACCGGAGTACAGGAAGAACGCACCTGGACAAAGGAGACATTCACACTGAAATAAATAGAAAATAATCAAATTTTCTATAAACACATTTCAGCAATAGTCCCCATACAAGTATAGATCACATTCTGTTTATTTATTAGATGATTGTTAAATTGTGGTGTTTGCTAAGTCAATAACCTGGCTGGTCTTAGCTGGTTTAAGCTGGAAATAGCTGGTTGGTCAGCTTGTCTCCCAGCCTGGCCAGCTAAAGAAATGGTCAAAACCCTCTAAAACCAGCCTGCAAACCAGTTATGACCAGGCTGGAAGTCCCACTAAAACCAGCTTAGTCTGGTTTTTCAGCTTAGGTTTTTTTCCCCCGCAGGGAAGCATCATTACTAAAATTAGGGTAAGTGATTTGAACAAACCCCTAAACCTATGTATTAAACTTTGGCGAGTACAGCATCATTTGTGCTATGGCTATAAATTATCCATCAACAACCACCTAAAACACCCCAGCAACCCCAAAACAACACCCTATTAACCACTCAGAACACCCAAGGAACCACTCTGAACTATTTAATAACTGCATAGTAGTTCACAAAAAACACTCGGAACACCTTAGTAACAATTCAGCCAGAAAAGCCTAACTACCTAGCAACCGTAGAGCAACATGCTAGCAACCACTCAAACACCCCATTCAAGTGCATAGCAACTACTCAAAATATCCTAATTGAATTAAATGACAACAAGCTTAAAGCACTTTAGTAACCAGAACCCCCCACCTAGAATGACCCAAATGCTACTATAGCACACAGAAACACCTCATCAATCACTAAGAATATGCAATGAACCACCCAAAACAAAAGCACCTAGAACTAAAACTCAAAAAATGCATAGCAATGTACATAAAACTTGCAGAACACCTAATAAACCATTTTATTGCACCAACATAGCAAGTCCCAAGCTACTGCAAAGCACAAACAATCACCTGAACACCGTCAATGGCGTAGCAACTACTCAGAACAACCTAACAGCTGAATGACAACATACTTAAAAACACATGAGCCCCAAAGCAACTCTAGCAACAACCTGAACACTGAAGCAGCTGCATAGCAACACCGTATCAACCACTCAGATCAACCAAGAAACCACAGAACAACTAGAACACCCTAGCAATTGCAAAGCAAGAAGCAAGCAACCACCTGAACACATTATCAACAGCATAGCAACTACTCAGAACCACCTAGCAACTGCATGACAACAACTATAGCAATGCCCAACCCCAAAGCAACACCCTAGCAACCAGCCAAACACTCTAGCAACCACATTATAGCAACACACGACCAACAACTCAGAGCACCCAAGCAACAATCCAGAACAACCTAGAAAACTGCATGGCAGCATACACGTAACACCTTAGCAACCACCTAACTATAACACCCTAGCAACCGCAAAGCAACATGCTAGCAATCCCCCAAACAATCATCAACTGCATAGCAACTAACCAGAACAACCTAGCAACTGCATGACAACATGTTAAACACTCAGAACACCTTAATAAACTTAAAAGTGCCTGACAAACACACAGGACACCCTAGCAACGACAAAATAATGCCCTAGCATCCTCCCAAGCCAACCCAGGAACCACATAACAACATACATTCGAGCAACCCTAACAATGCCCTGGAAACCACACAGAATAGCCAAGCAACCACCCAGAACAATTTAAAAACTGCATAACAGCACACCAAAAAACAAAAAACAAAACACCTTAGTAACAACTCGGCTAGAATAGCCTAGCAACTCCCCTAGCAACTACAGAGGAACCAAAAAAAATTGCATAGCAACATATACCTAACACCTTAACAACCGCAGTGCAACCACATAATTCCCTAGCAACTGCAATGCGACCCAGAACCAGAACAACCTAGTAGCTGTATAACAACATGTTTATAAACACTCAGAACATCTTAACAACCTTATCAATTCCATGACAAACACAAAGAACACCCTAGCAACGACAAAATAATGCTCTAGCACCAAGAGCACCCAAGCCACCACCCAAACCAACCCAGCAACCACATAATAACACCCATTCAAGCAACACTAGCAATGCCCTGGAAACCACACAAAACATCCAAGCTACAACCTAGAACAATATAGAAAACTGCATAGCAACATACACCAAACACGTTAGCAACCGACCCAACAACAACACCCTAGCAACCACATAACAACTCCCTAGCAACTGCAAAGCAACATGCAATAAACACCTGAACATAGGCCTGGGCGATAAAATGGTATTGATATTTATCGACGGTACACCTTCTTCGATATCGATAGAAAAATTTCCCTAGCAACTGCAAAGCAACATGCAATAAACACCTGAACATAGGCCTGGGCGATAAAATGGTATCGATATCGATACGGTACGGTACACCTTCTTCGATATCGATAGAAAAATTGTTTGATATAGCGCGCAATATAGTGTGTGACGCAGACAGCACACACAAACACGAACACATGCTGAAATGAGTGCTGTGCCTGCCTGTGATGAGGAGATTGCGAATAAAGTTGAATTTAAAAAAAACATTTGCATTTGAATGTTAGGTGTGCATCAGGGAGCGTCATCAGTGGTGCACGAGATGCGGGGATGATGAGGGACGTTGTTCCATTTGAATGTTTTGTTAGTCTAGCCCACGAGACGCGCCGCTGCTGCGTTATGCATTCAAAATATTAAGAGAAATATAGTAGCTCAATGCGGAGAAGATCTTGAATGGGTTAAAACCGAAACCCAGCCATTCACGCAGAACACATATTCAGTTTTTAGACGGACAAATATGACTGCTGCACTCGCGTCACACAAGAGATGTAGCCACGCAAAGTTAAAACAGTTTAAACTTTTAGAAAACACGTCACGAATTTGTGGAAGTTTATTCCTTTTCACTGCATCTCATATGTTTTTAAATGTAATCTGTGTGAATGGTGCTTCGGCTCTTTGGATTAAGCAATGCATAAATACATGATGCTGTTTTGTTCATAATTGTTCATACAATTTACGAAATTATATTCGATTTTTATGAGTTAATTTAGACGTAATGCACGTTTTTATAGAGGTACTTCCTTGCGTTGACAATTTAAATGCGCTGCATTATTTTGCTCATTGGCTTCGGGAAACAATTAGACATATACAATAAAGACCTATTGAACACCCATCAACTGCATAGCAACTACCCAGAACAACCTAGCAACTGCATGATAACATACTTAAAAAGAACCACCTAACACCGTCAACTGTAAAACAACCCTCTAGCAACCACCCAAACACCCCATCAACTGCACAGCTACCCAGAACAACCTAGCAACTGCATAGCAACCACCTAGTGATTTTAGCTGCTGATGGAATCTGTATAGAACATAAACCCTGTTGGTGTTCAGGGTCGTGTGTGTGTGTACTGTGATGTACCGTAGTATGTCAGGTACTGGGCCACATGGAGGAAGGTCAGAGACACAAGGACGTTACAGATCCAGTTGACCCCGGCAGAGCAGGCGTTCCCTGTGCTCCGAGCCCACAGCGGATAGATCTCGGAGTTCACCGTCCACGGCATAGGACCCATACCTGCTCCAACACACAACCTGACATCAGGCTTTATGATCATTAACGGCTACTTTAAGCTCCAATGAACTGAGAAAACTCTCACCTGGAGCAAAGGCGGCCAGATACAGAACGAGACCCAGCAGAACAATCCAGGAGTAAGATGTTGGGCAGTAGTTATAGGCCCAGAATACACCAGCACTCTCCTGCGTGCCATTGGAACACCTCAATAAGACAAGATTTAATCAAACTTTTAGGTTAACATTCACATTTAGTTAAAATTGTTAATAAATCATATGCAAAGAAGTGCACTGTAGCATACTTACATACAGACCAAAAAATTCCATACAGAGCCTTTAAATGCAATTAGCTGAACTTAAGTGCCGGCGACAGCCTGTGACATCATCATCACAGTATAAAAGGGCGCCGGAAGAACACGTCATCCTCTTCTTTGTCGTCAAGGACGGTTTAGTTTGAAGCGTGCATTTCCAGTAAGAACAATTACACTTCTTTACCATGGCGAGCACAAGTAAGGCGTTTAAGAAGTGTGTGGATCCGTGTCCTCGTTATTTAACACCTGATGACACACACAATCTTTGCGTCTTTTGTTTGGGCGAAGAGCATGCGCGCAATGTCCTCGAGGGGGCAGTTTGCGTGCACTAAGAGCATTTTCCTATGAAAAAGCTCCGCTCTCGTTTGTCTCTCTTTCGAGGAAAGAGGGACAGCCATCAGCTCCCCATGGTTCAGGACCCTCCGCTGCTGAGGCACAGAAGAAAATGAGCTTGTGGGGATCGCAGGTGGACTTGGATGATGAGTTGAAAAAGGGTCTTTCCCTTTCGCCCTCATCAGTCACGGACGAGAGTGAGCTGTTGGACGACGATGCTATCTCTCTTACATCATCTGATCCAGCAGCTAGTGCTCTGCTGGCTCCAAGCCAGGATGAGTCCTCCCAATCCTTCTGCCCCGCGTATGATGAGCTGCTTGAGGTTATGGATCGCACCACGGCGAGGCTTGACTTGCCGTGGAAACGGGCCAAGAAGGTGATGCCTCGAGGGCGCCTCGATGAGCGTTTTCTTTCTAACCATAGCCCTCCAGCTCAGGTGAACCTTCTATTTCTTCCCGATCTCTATGTGGTCGAGAAGTTTAAGGAGGCCAAGACGCGCTCGGTTGCCTTTAAATCCTTCATTCCACAAAGGTCCAGGTCTGAGCCCGAACAACAAAGGGGTCCTGGCCCATCTCGATCTAAGGAGGGCTCAGAAGACTAGTGTCGCAACTCATGCCCCTCCCCCGCCTGCAGGTAGGGCTCAAAGGGGCGTGGGTCAAAGGGTGACAGGCACGATTTGAGGGAGGTGATCCAGACTAGGCATTCTCAATGCTCTCGGTTGGACCAGAGTAAAACCTGAGCCATCTACACACCTCCCTCTGAGAGTATTTACATCTGCTCTCATCTTCCTTCCCTTAATTCCCCTAAAAAGCTTCCCTTCTAACTGATGTTAGGTAGGAGCCTCCTGCACTTGCATTGCAGTCTCTTATGCTGGACCTTTGAGGTTTTGGCTAGTTTCTATGTCTCATAGAACTACCTACTGATGGCCCGGACCCCAGTGCTCTTCGGACTTCACCTCCAGCCTATATCCATGAGCCTGAGTCATGTGCGGGAACCATGGCTGGTGAGTACGATCCATATCATTTACTCTATTGCTAGTTTTTGTGTATTCAATACTAGCCTTTCTCGGCAGCGCTACTCGGACCTGTTCTGTTTTCTGACTTTTTAGGTTTGAACCCCTCCTGCTAAGTCAGAACCTCCTGCTGTTGACTGATTATAGTGAGGGTTTCACCCATTGGTACTGGATCCAGGCTGGTGATAGCCCTCATCTTCGGCTTGGACAAGCAGCCTGGGTTTCTGCAGAAGCCTCCCAGCATCAGGTCCCCAGTATAACATTGCAACCTCAGGACCTGTGGGTCCTCCTCGCGGCATGCTCCCTATCCTCTGGCCAGGGTGCGCTACTTATCTCTCACCCTGAGGGGTCTCCTGAGATTTCTTTCCTTAACCATCATGCACATTCTCTGAGCTAGAGCTCCTCTTGCTGAGGCGTTGAGTGGCTCAACACTCCTTATTTCCACTCTGCAGTTCGAAAGACGGTTAGGCCCGTGGGTTCTCCCTGTCACACTGCCCCTATGGTCGAACCAGTAATCACCCCTCTGCGGAGTGGGCTTGAGTACACTGCGTTCCCTGAGGTACGAGGGAGTTGTGTTTCTGCGAAAACCCCTCTTGTATGCTTCTGCTCTGAGGAGCAGTAAGCTCTGTACACATGAATGGTTATTGGGTCCCGCTATTTCTTCAGATTCTATCGGGTCTGGTTATACGTGACCCACACTCTCTATCGAGATGAGACTGTGTCCAGCTGCACCAGCTGACTGTCTCTTATTGGGCCCTGCTGGGTTACCCCTTCTAATCTAGCACCGCCTTCTGGGCGAGCTGAGAAGTGCTCCCCTCACTATAAGGGTTAGCTATGAGTCGCTCCCAGCATGTGCTGTAAGGGCCCGCGTGAGCTTGAGAGCCGAAAGCGATGCTCCCGAAAACTTAATTTGCAACGAAACCGAGTTGTTAGGCCTGTCTCTGTCGCCTCCTTGGTCAGTTGCCTCTATCTTGGGACTCTGTTGTTCCCTGTAGAAATGTGTGATCCCCTTCTAGCAGGATCCCATTTCAGATGTCCCATTTGCGATCTATCTGCTCCCCGGACATTGATGTGCTCCCCTCTTGCGGGAGGGTCCTTTTGAGCTCGCAGGTCCTGGGCAGACTGTCTGAGTCCTCCTCTCGACTTGAGAGCTAGGTCCTCTGACCCTGGGCTATTGATCGCTTCGGTCGAGCTGGGTTCCTCTCTCTCCTCGCTAGGGGTTGAACCCTCCAATCTTGAGCTCCGTGGCAGTGACATCAGGTAGTTGGGCCACTTGCTGCCTCCCTGATAAACTGCCTCTATTTGGGCCAGCGTCTAGTTTGGTTTTTTAGACACCTGGACGTATCTCCTTAAATAAATCTCTTTCTTCTGATTCGAAGCCTTGAGCTCTGCCCTAGGCCTGGGCTTCCCAGCCCAGCCTTTAACAGGTAAGTTATTTTAGGGTATGCAGCTCAGGCCCTTGGCCGAAGGGGATAATGTCACTGACAGCTGTCAAGGCGTCCGGAAGGGATCATCTCAGGTTACGTATGTAACCATGGTTCTCTGAGAAGGGAACCAGACACTGTGTCCTGTAGTTCCCTTGCCATGCTTTGGAGACAAGCTTCAGATGAAGCAGCGGATGACGTGTTCTCTCGGTGCCCTTTTATACTGTGGTCACGCCAGTTGATGAAGTCACAGGCTGTCGCCGGCCAATGTTATTTTCGTGTTTAGATGTATGCTTCAGACACCGGTCACGCTGAAGGCGTTCCCCATAGTGACCTCTAGAGGATGCAGTGTCTCATTCCCTTCTCAGGGAACCATGGTTACATACGTAACCCGAGACGTTTTTTGTGCTAATATGTGATGTATACCTAGTGCAGCTTTAGGTTTCCAGGTAAACCATGATATTACTGTCTTATCAAAATAGTTCTGATAATTCGCTGTGAACCCACTATTTCCTAAGAATGTGTCAATTAATGTAGACTGTTATTCTAATTACTTCGTTTAACAATAAAGAAAGTAGACATTCTGGTTTACAAACTATATTGTTTCATCAGTTAGTCATGTTAGCACTAGTTAGCACTATTCACCATTACTGTTTTGTTAAGTGTTTACAGTTTAGCAGCTAAACTTTAGCTGTGGACACGATTCGCTTGCATAAGTGTTAAACAAAATGTTTTATGTAATTATTTTAAGAATGGATTGGAGCACTATATTATTGTTTTATGTAAAGGTTAGGGCTGCACGATAAATTTAATGCATGTAATATTTAATGTGCATCTTGTCAGTAAAGCCGGTTCTGTAATCAGAGGTAAATCTCCATCACCTGCGGGCTTTCACATTGAGCAGCATTAACTACACGGAGCCGTTGTTCACAGACGAGCGGCGCAAAACCACGTTCATATTCGCGCGATTTTTTGCGCAGCTCGTCTGTGAACAACGGCTCCGTGTAGTTAATGCTGCTCAATGTGAAAGCCCGCAGGTGATGGAGATTTACCTCTGATTACAGAACCGGCTTTACTGACAAGATGCACATTAAATATTACATGCATTAAATTTATCGTGCAGCCCTAACCTTTACATAAAACAATAATATAGAGCTCCAATCCATTCTTAAAATAATTACATAAAACATTTTGTTTAACACTTATGCAAGCGAATCGTGTCCACAGCTAAAGTTTAGCTGCTAAACTGTAAACACTTAACAAAACAGTAATGGTGAATAGTGCTAACTAGTGCTAACATGACTAACTGATGAAACAATATAGTTTGTAAACCAGAATGTCTACTTTCTTTATTGTTAAACGAAGTAATTAGAATAACAGTCTACATTAATTGACACATTCTTAGGAAATAGTGGGTTCACAGCGAATTATCAGAACTATTTTGATAAGACAGTAATATCATGGTTTACCTGGAAACCTAAAGCTGCACTAGGTATACATCACATATTAGCACAAAAAACGTCTCGGGTTACGTATGTAACCATGGTTCCCTGAGAAGGGAATGAGACACTGCATCCTCTAGAGGTCACTATGGGGAACGCCTTCAGCGTGACCGGTGTCTGAAGCATACATCTAAACACGAAAATAACATTGGCCGGCGACAGCCTGTGACTTCATCAACTGGCGTGACCACAGTATAAAAGGGCACCGAGAGAACACGTCATCCGCTGCTTCATCTGAAGCTTGTCTCCAAAGCATGGCAAGGGAACTACAGGACACAGTGTCTGGTTCCCTTCTCAGAGAACCATGGTTACATACGTAACCTGAGACGATCCCTTCCGAGGGAACTTCGAACTGCGTCCTCTAGAGGTCGCTATGGGGAACGGTATACCCATGCCGCCATGCTGAGGAGAGTGAATGCCAGAAACCACCATGAGCACTAAGTACCAACTCTACCATAGCCATGGGAGTTGCCCCAAGGACGCCTTGACAGCTGTCAGTGACATTATCCCCTTCGGCCAAGGGCCTGAGCTGCATACCCTAAAATAACTTACCTGTTAAAGGCTGGGCTGGGAAGCCCAGGCCTAGGGCAGAGCTCAAGGCTTCGAATCAGAAGACAAGATGCGAGTTAAATATCGCATGCGATTTATCATGCAGCCCTAGTAAAGGTGCATGCTTTGTCAGTGGTTGCGATCGCTAACTTGCTCACGTACTCCTCTAGGTACCAATCACAACAAACTTGGCCAGCTGACCAATCAGAGCAGAGTAGGCTTATGGAAGGGAGGGGTTTACAGAAATACATTGTATGGGTCAAAATTATTGATTTTTCTTTTATGCCAAAAATCATTAGGATATTAAGTAAAGATCATGTTCCATGAAGATATTTTGTAAATATCCTACCGTAAATATATTAAAACTTATTTTTTGATTAGTAATATGCATTGCTAAAAACTTCATCTGGACAACTTTAAAGGCGATTTTCTCAATATTTTGATTTTTTTGCACCCTCAGATTTTCAAATATTCTCCTATCCTAACAAACCACACATCAATGGAAAGCTTATTTATTCAGCGTTCAGATGATGTATAAATCTAAATTTCGAAAAATTGACCCTTGTGACTGGTTTTGTGGTCCAGAGTCACATATTACTGTACATACTTCAGTCTGTTAGTAAGGACTCGTGTCTATGGCTGTGTTTGAATCTTCACCTAGTATGCTGGCCAGAGAAAGCTTCCTGCGGCCCACCCTCTCCACGAGCCACACGCCTACTAGAGTAAACAGGAAGTTGGTGAAGGCTGTGGCAGAAGCCAGCCAGATGGCCATCTGATCATCCTGTACTCCAGACATCTGCAGTATGGTGGCGCTGTAGTACCTGCAGCATTCAGGGAGATCATTTCATTCCCTTAAAATAGACAGTACTGTTATATAATTGGTAACTGCAGTCCCAGGTAAATGTTCAAAATGGCTACCAGTGCTACCACACTACTCCTGCTGTTTCCACAGTATGCATTCTACTTTTGAAAGTTGACACTGTTGCATATTGTTTCACATACTATTCTGAAATGAGAATGCAGTATACTATGGAAGCTTGCAACTTTTTATCTTATAATTCTGACCTTTTCTCAGAATTATGGGTTAATGTATCATAATTGCGAGTTTTAATTGAGGTCACATCTCGCAAATTCTGTTTTTGTTTCCACCAAGGAATAAAATAATAAAAACGATAAATTGCGACTTTTCTTCTTAGAATTTCGAGCTGATATTTCTCATGATTCTGACTTTTTTTCTGAGAATTGCGAGAAAAAAATCTTGTATTGTATTGTAAAATAAAAGGCTGCAATTCAATTCTGAATTAGACTTCAATTCACACCAAGGACGATGATGATAACAATAACGTTAACTTAGTGATGCACTGATTGGATTTTTTTGGCCGATACTAATACTGATTTTAACAAACAATTACTGTCTGATTCCAATACCGATATTTGTCACTTACTCACTTATTTAAAGGGGTCATATGACGTGATTTCAAGTTTTCCTTTCTCTTTGGAGTGTTACAAGCTCTTGGTGCATAAAGAAGATCTGTAAAGTTGCAAAGACTAAAGTCTCAAATCCAAAGAGATTTTCTTTATAAAGGTTAAGAATCGGCCACGCCTACCTAAAACGGCTCGTTCTAACACGCCCCCACATACCTACATCACTGTGTGGAAATATTAGCATAATGCCGCCCAAATGTGCACGCAAAGAAAGAAGGCGTGGTTTCAGGAACAGCAGTTAGTGTTGAAGCAGCATGTCAGGGAGACGCTGTGTGTTTCAGTGCGAAAGCAAAAGCACTTTATTTGGCCTTCCGAAAGTAGATGCAATTAGGAATCATTGGTTAAGATTTATTTACAACAGAACCGCACAACCCAGATGTTCAAATTTGCGCAACGCATTTTATGGACAACAGTTTTTTTAACGTAGAAGAGTACAAGGCTGGCTGTGCACAAAGGCTATTTCTAAAAAAAAAGAGGGTCAATTCCGACTTTGCTATGACAATCTGGCGCCTCCGAGTCAGCGACTGTACGTATGTTTTTGTATTTGTTATTGACTGTTCAAATGCGGAGTTTTGCGCAGCAAAAAGTAACGCGTCGTGCGTGTGTGTGTGTGTGTGTGAGAGAGTGCGTGTGTGTGTGTGTGTGTGTGTGTGTGTGAGGGGAACAGGGTCACATCACAGGAGAGTGAACTG